ATTTAACTTAATAAAATAAAAAATGAATAAATATAAGGTAATCTTTGTTAAGAACAAATTTAATTTATTTATTAAACTATATTTTTATTTTTATTTATATACCAACTTAAATTAAATATAGTAACATGTTAAAATATTTTAACATGACTTGTGTTATTTATAAACCATAGGGCAGCTGCCCTTACGGCACAATTGTTTTAGGATTATAATTTATTTTGATGAAGATCACATAACTTACATTTGATTTTAATAACGTAAGTCTTCTCTTTTTCTGTGTGCAAAGCATCGGCAAAGTCCCAAGATTTAAAAGTTTTTAAAGGAAATCTTTTGTCTTTCAAAATACAATCCATATTCGAACTTTAAACAATTAGAGAGAATAGAAATCTAAGAGGTTTTTATATACTAGTTTGTCTTGTTTTATAAAGAAAAATACATATTCATTAACAAAAAATAGAGACTGTCATTAAACTAAAACGTGCCTCAGTATTTATTTAACGGAATCTGTAATGTGCGCGTGCATAATGAAACCTCCATTATATAAATATATTCAACGTAATATTAGTGTCATCAGCAGATGTTATAGTCTACTCGTGATTTCTTAACCTTATAATATAACTTGATCTATAAAAAAAATTTATTGAACCGCACGCAGAAGAAATTTAACAAATTGTCTTCATTCACAATTTGCCAGTAACAGGTAACTTTTTTTTTCTGTGCTGGACCCCTCCCCCCGCATAACTTAAAAGCAAAGGTATCTATATACCTTTAACTAATAAGAAAAGCAAAGAGTAATAATTGATGAAGTAATTTTTAGAAAAATACAAATAGATTGTTCATTCATTCATTGGCACATTTTTTTTAATATCTTGAAAAAATATCTTGATACTTTTGTTATCATGATAACAAAAATATAAAGGCGTTTTTTGATATATTAAAAAAATGTCAACCCTTAATTACAAATTTTTTGCAAATGTTTTTTAATATGAATTTAGTAAAAAACTCTTAAAAAGTTTATATTAAAAAAACATTTATATTCTGTATTAATAAGTTTGGAATATAGATTTTTTAAATTTTTTTTTTTAAAGTTACTACTTTTTATCAAAAACATTTGCAAAAAATTTGTAGTTAAGGATTGGCGAACAATTTTTCAGTTACTAAATATTTGAATAAAAAGTTAAGCGTAAAATTAAATGTTATAAAAACGTATGATATGTCGCGATAAAAAGTTACTTCAATTATTTTTAACGTAATTTTTTTTTTCTAATAAATATTTTTACATATCGTTATTCAAAAGTTAATGTGGTTTTTTTAAAAATTAATTACTTCTTTTATGTTAACACTAATTTAAAAGTTAAAAAATGATAAAAAGTAGCTTAACCAAAACAGCTCGTACGTACGTAAAAATCACTTAAGGCGTACGTAAATCGCTCTAGGCGTAACGCTTTAAAACAAGGCCTGAAACAAGTAACAATACAATCAGGACTACCGCCAATGCTCTATGATAAGACCGTAAGGACTTCTGGGAGCACCTAAATACATACAAAAAAAAAAAAAAAAAAAAAAAAAAAAGGAAGGGAATATCTCTATCTAAAAGTAACCCACAATCATGCATTGCTACACCTTTATGATTGATTTTAAAAATTTCATAAAAACAGTTAACAGAAAAAAACATTGAGCTTTCCTTTTGTTTAAATTATTTATCCAAAGTTAAATTCATAATGGATTTAGATTTAATTAATAAAATGAAAATTTATGAGTTCAAGCAGTATTTAAGACTTCGAAATTTGCATGTTTCTGGAACAAAGAGGGAATTGGTTGCTTGTGTATTTTCTGCAATGGAAAACTTTATTGAGCCTGTACTAACTGCTACCGAGGCAGTCAAAGAACTTAAAGATGAATATCAAAAAAAACTTTTAATTGACAATGTTAAATGCAGTGATCCGCTTATCTTATTAGATGGTTGGTAATTGTTTTTAGGGTGAGAACATTTTCAGGGGACATGTGGCATTTTTATAATCAGTAAAATTTGTGTTTCGCTGTGCTGTTTTGTTATGCTATTTTGTTGTTGTTTTTTTAAGTGTAAATAGATTTTTTGTGATTTATTGTTATTTAAATACATTAGGTTTGCATCATAATACACTTTTGATTCTAAAAACAATTTGTTCAATATTTTGTTATTCAATTTTTTTAAACAAATTAATTCTTATTTAAAAAAAATAATTTTTAAGTAAGAAAAAAAAGTTCAAAAGTTCTAAACTAAAAATAGACCAAAAAGATATTGATTTAAAAAAAATAAATTATTTAATTCAATGTTTATTTTTTTAATAATAATTTATTTTTAATGAATAAAAAAATAAACAATGAATTAAATGCCTCAAGGTAAAATAAACATTGAATTAAAGTACCTCAAGGTGCTATCCTTAACCCTGTATTGTTTCTGATCTACATTAATGATCTTCCTGATAAATTTATATCTAAAGTGGCTCCATTTGCTGACAACTTGACTTTATGTTATAAAGTTCTTTAGTTATGCTTAATAGAATTGTTCGATAACATATGACACTCGCAGAGAATTTGATTCTCAAAATTCATATTATATATATAATATGTAATGTTGTTCTTAAGTTTTTTTATGTTTTTAGACACTAAATAACTAAATATACTTTTTAGTTAAAAAAAAATTTTTTAATGCTTTGCTGCCCTCGTAAATATTTTATGTGTCAATTTGATAATAACTAAACAAGAAAATAAAAATATCATTAAATAAAACCTGGTCTATTATCATTTTTTCCTATACTACTATTTTCAATACATTAGGCATTACACATGTTATATATAACAAGGTAAATACTATTTGTAACAAAAATTATTAATGTCGAATTTAAAAAAAATCCAAACAAATGTTATAATTACCAGGTGTAATAATTGAAAACCGGGTTAGGCACATAGATGGCGTTTTTTCAAAAAGTACTCAAAATAAATAAATATTTTTTTTTCTTTTTACAGCTGTAAGATTCCTATACAAAAATTAGTTGTCAATTGAACGCATCTCATACAACAACATTGTTTTTTATTATTTTAAAAATGTTGAATTTTGTACCAGAAAAGCATCATTTGCGGGAGGCTTTACTTTTTTACTTTCATTTAAAGAAAACTACTGCTGATGCTTATTGAATGCTTGAGGAAGCTTATGGTGAATATATTCCATCAAAAACAACTTGTGAAAACTGGTTTAAACGATTTAAAAGTGGTGATTTTGATGTGGAAGACAAACAACGTCCAGGTCAAGAAAGAAAGTTTGAAGACAGTGAATTGCAAGAATTATTGGATGAAGATGATACACAAACTCAAAAAGAAATGGCAAAAGCATTAAATGTTTGTCAAAAAACAATTTCTAATTGTTTGAAAGCAATGGGAAAGATCCAAAAGCTGGGTAAATGGGTTCCACATGAATTAAACGAAAGACAGCGAGAAAGACGAAAAACCATTTGAGAAATGCTCATTCAAAAGCAAGAAAGAAAAGGTTTTTTGCATCAAATCATTACTGGAGATAAAAAAATGGATATTTTTCGAAAATCCAAAACGCAAAAGATCATGGGTTTAACCAGGACAACCATCAACATTGACTGCAAAAACAAATTGATTCAGAAAGAAGAGAATGCTATGTGTTTGGTGGGATCAGAAGGGAATTGTATACTATTCTGAATGTTATCGACAACAAATCATCAATTTGAACCATTCATTGATTGAAAAGCGACCAGAATGGAAGAATAGGCATGAAATAGTGATTTTGCAACATGACAATGCTCGACCACACAAATCAAAAGATGTGAAAAATACATTAAATGCACTTGAATGGGAAGAATTACCACACCCGCCATATTCACCAGACTTGGCTCCATCCGATTACCATTTGTTTTTATCAATGCCATTGAAGCTTGGAGACCAGCACTTCAATGAAGCTCAAGAAGTCAAAAAATGAGTTGATGAGTGGTTCGCTTCAAAAAATGAATAATTTTATCAAGATGGAATTCGTAAGTTGCCTGAAAGATGGGCAAAATGTGAAATGTTGAATAAACCATCTATAATCTTTCAATAAAAAAAAAAGCATTTTCTTTGATAAAAAAAAAAACAGTTTTCAATTACTACACCTGGTAATATACACTAGATAATTGATATCCTGTAAGTCTATACCAAATAGGATGGTCTCGTATTGTGTGGTGTTAAATCCATTAGAATCAGTTGAATACCACACAATACAAAAGAAGGATAGTCTTGTATTGTGTGGTATCGCCTGTCAATACCATAAAAACTGGTTTAAGATACACAGTTCCAATAAGAAAAAAAGATGAAAATGCAATTTTTTAAATTTTAGACTAGACTTTGAATTTTAGACCAGGTGATAATTATGATAAAATGCAAGATTTAATTAAAGTAACAAAACCAGATGAGAAATTAAAATATGGAAGTGATACCACACAATTAATTAAAATAAAAACATACCAGATGAGAAATTAAAATATGGATACTGCATATTTATTCAAGTTAAAATAATGATATCAGATGATAAATTAATTGATAAATATGGTGTCAAACGATTCCACACAACCTTTGAGAATTTCTATTATACTAAATGAGTCAATTATATTCATCTTATTATATAAACTTACTATTTCAAATTACTAACCATTTATAAGAATAAAATACAAAGTCTTGTGAAGACCTGAGCTGCAATACCAAATGATACTATCCGTACCAAACAATATTACCATAACCGATACTTTCAACACCAGTATCAGGTGATCTTGATACTGAGAGGTATCGCACCGATACCAGACAATAAACCATGACTCAATACCAATTATCTAGTTTTCACTGACCTTGATATCGATACTGTAAGGTATTGCACCAATACCAGACAATAAACCAAGGCTCAATACCAATTATCTAGTGTCTAATAACTAATATAATAAAATAATATAATTTTTATAAACTATTACCATATACTTCAATGGATGATTCTGTTTAATTTCCATATTTTTAATATAATAATCAGGTAAATTTATTTTCTCAGCTAAGCATTTTGAAAAAGATGATTTAAATGCAGGTTCACTAAGTGATTTAATATTCTGTCTTTGATTCTCAATAAATTCTATGCTATTTGAGCCCCATGATGTAAAATTATCCTCTAGAAATTCATATGTGTAAATAAGTTTAAATTGGGGATGTTCATCCGGTAAACCATTGTCAACAATGCAGTTGTTGAACACAATTTCAGCAACATCTAAAACGAAAAGCTTAAAATAAAAAACAAAATTGTAAAAATATTTTGTCAAAAAAATAAATATATATTACCATGGTTACTGATGTAACATTCACAAACTTTATACTTGAACTTAAATATTTTCAGTTTCTATTCTATTCATTTTATATATTAGAATTTTTAAATAAAGCTAAAATTTGTTTATATATATGGGTACTATTTGTGTATATTTAAAAATCTCAGACTATTTATGTTTATCTATAAGTAAAACAACATATGTTTGTTATTGATGTAACACTGTAATTTGCTGCTTTTGATTATGACTTTAAATTTCTCTAAAAGTAAAACAGACCAAAAATAGATGAATTAGTTACCTTTGCTGAAGTTTTTATTCTGAAGACCAGAATAAAAACTTGTTGACGTTATACCACTAATGTAACTCTCTTACTCAGAGAGACATTTTTGATTAAAAATGTAACTTGAGTCAAGTTTTATTTTATTTTCTAATAACATTTGTTGGTAAGAAAATTGATAAATAATATTTTTATTGAAAAAACTATTTAATTCAGTAAACTATTAGGAGTAGCCTGTGGGTGCCAAAATGAAATACACCAAGGTGTCAAGGTACTTTTTTTTTTAAATTTGAATTGAAAACACCCAGTGTTCCCCATGCAACCTAGCCTGACAAAAAATTTAACTTTAAAAATAAAGGCACAGTTTTTATTTTTGTAAAATTAGTGAATAAACTCGAAAAGCTGGTCGTGGCGTGGTGGTGGGAAACAATGGAAGCAAAATAAAATCCCTTGCTAGTAATTATCAAAAGGTTTCTTTTAAAACTTGACTTTTTTCGTTCTTGTCATAAAATATAAACTAAAATATATCAGTATGTGTATAGCTCAATTTTATTTAAAAAGAGTCATGTAATAAGCAGTTAAATCTTTGCCAGTCTTCACTAATCACTTGTCAGTAGTCACTTGCTATAGCATGCCACCACTGATAATTGCCCTTTTTATTTTTTTATAAATCATTATACAAGATCATTTTTTTGCTTTAACACTATTGTTTTAGGGACAGTATTAAAGCATATAATTAAATAATTGTGATATTTTTCTTAATAAAATTTATTTTTTTTATTTTTTGATTAATAAAAAAAAATTAATAAAAAGAAAGTAAAATAAAATAATTACTTTCATGATTGTAATGATTACAGAATTACAATTCTCTTTAAACAATTATTTTACAATTATTAAACATTTATAAAAACGTTTTATTTGCACAACCATTGATGATTACAAAACTGTAATTTTCTTCAAGACAATTCCGCATGAAGGAATTCTCAAATTTATTAAAAATTTTTATAGCACCACTGTTATAGGCAGATAAAGCTAATCAGCTTTAACTTGAAGCTAAAAAATCAATCAGCTGCAATCCTTAATTATAGATGTTTTATTTCTATTTGCTGACTAATAAGCAATTTTGAAACCAATTATATATTTAATACTAGATGGCTACTATATTTACGTTTGCTACTGTCATATAAATTTTAAATATTTTAACTGATCAAATTAAAGATGATTAAAAAGATTTTCTAGAATAACTACTAGAGATGGATATACTAAAGAAAATATAGTGGATGCTGTTGCAGATGTAAAGAGGTTAGATAAAACTTTTTGTTTGCCTGTACAAAATGCAAAATGTTGCTATCTAATAACTTTTACTAACTAATAACCTTTGCTATGAGGTCTTACTACCTAGGCAGCTACATATTTTATTTAATTTTTTTTAATGGTTGAAAAACTGGTGCATCAAAGCATTATGATACTTCTAGAGCAGCCTTGAAGGACAAGATTAGTGGAAAAGCCCCTACGGTCAAAAAAGTACAGCAGCCCAAAGCTGAGGAGTGAGTGTTGGCTAACTATATAATCAGTGCACAAAGGTGAGTTCATCATGTCACCAAACACACTATCATGTTACTTTTGTCAAACCTAATAAAAAATGAATGTTGGATAGGGAAAATAAACAAGGATTGACCTAGTAAGTGACCGGGATTGATTGTTGACTGCGGCCAGAGCAGGGTTTGGTAAAATAAAGCCAGGGCTGGGTTTGTGACCAGGGAGGCATAAACAATTATAGATCCTAAAGTATACTTTTTTAACTTAAAATTCATGTTATATTTTGTATATATATGCATATATAAACATCATCTCAATCAACATGATCATCATTACCAGCATGATCATGATCATGATTATCATCATGATCATGATCATCATCATCATCATCATCAACATCATCATCATCATCATCATCATCATCATCATCATCATCATCATCATAAGGCTTTAGCCTTCCTCTTTTGCTGTTTCTCTAATATAAACAATCATCACAAATATATTCATACAATATATAAGGCACTCTCTTCTAGCTGTCTAACTTCTACCACTACCATTTTCTTCTGAAGCTGCTCCTCTCTACATCCTGATACCTAAATCACTTTAATTTTCTCTAACAAACTTTGTACATTTTTTTCGAATCTTTCTAAGATTATGCCTCCTTTTCTTGCTATGTTAGAGTCACACCACATATCCATCTAATCATCTTAAAATAATCTATAAAAATAAGTTTATATAATTATGAAAGGATATTATTTGCCACCATCTAAATAAATAGCAAGCATATATGTTTTACCCATAATATGTATGCATAAAACGCATCTTGGGAGTTTTTATTCCCTCTGGAATAAAAATAAAATAAGGTTGGAAGCTTCTATTCTTTCTCTTCAATATTAAGTCAAGGCTCATTCTACTCCCCATTCTTGAGCAGTTGCTTTATTAAACAGTAATCACTTTTTTAATCATTTTTACAAGAACATCTTTCTTATAAACAAATGTTCTTTTATTATTCCAAGAAGCCAATGTAAAAATGTCCTGTCTGATGTTAAGCTCTTTTATTCTCAGTTAACTAAATCTTGTTTCTTATCTCAGGTGTTAGGTTCTTTTGGTAAGTCTTTAACTTTTGACTTTTGACTTTTGGTAAGTCTTTAACAGTATCATTAACTAAAATAAGCCTAACATTTAATCTCTAATTCATGGATCTGGTCTTTTTACTGCTCCTCAAAATAAGGCAGAGTTTTTTGCAAAGAAATCTTACTCTAATTTAACTCTTGAATCTAATGGCCACACTCTTCCTGGTAATGGCCACACTCCTGCCACTTAAACAGATTGACTTATTGTTAAACATCAAAATTACTATGGCTTCTAATGCTAAAGTTAATTCTCAATTAAACACTATTACAGTTTGTTCTCCAGACAAGATTTCCATCACAGTCTTAAAAAAGCGTTCGCCAGAATTCTCTTCAATTTTTGCTAAACTTTTAAAAAGTGCATAATAAGAGGTTGCAACTTTTCAAAATTCTAGAAAAAACTTTGACCTCTCCGACTATCCTACAATTAGTCTTCACTCTGTTATTTGTTTCTTTATATAAAGTTTTTGAGATTATTGAATTATTTCTACCTGCAGTATTAAAATTATTCTTGAAGGCCTACGATCCTTTTTATTTTAAGTAATTTAAGGGTATCACAAAGTTCTATCTTTGCTCCTGCAATGTTTTTTGTCTATAATAACAAAGTCTAAAGTGCCTCTAATTTGCTGACAATTCAACTTCATACTGTTGAGTTGACAAAAAATCTTCTTTTTTTGATTACTTTAAACAAGCAGCCATTTATAATCTGATCTCTCTTCTGTAACAGCCTGAGGCTTCCAAAGGCTTGTGGATTTAAATTGTGGACTTAAAATCTACAATTTTTTTTAGGCAACAAAACTTATTTATTTACTAGAAAAAAATATTGCAATATTGTTGGCATTCCTATATTGACAAATAACAACACTCTTGCTCTCAGACAAAGTCTAAAATCAAACTGTAAATCCAATTAAACTTGCTTTATCTGCCAAGCTTGAACCACTCTCCCATTGTTGTAAGGTTGCGTTTCTTTCTTTTTTCTACTAATACTATCATGGTCAATGCTCATACGAGCTATCATCTCTATTACAATAAATCAAAACTCATTCTTACTTGGCTTCTTATTCAACAAGTTGCATCCTTTTACTGTCCCATCATGCTATAAAAACTTTTATTAAAAAACTTCAGTTCACAATTTTCTAGCATTTTAACCTTCTATTTCAAAGTAACTCATAATTGCTTGCAATCTTGTTGGAAGTAAATTAGAGTTTAAGAATAAATATATGCTAGTATATAATAAATAGTAAATGTAAGTATAAAATTATACTACAAAAAGTATGAAAACTTTTTTCTAGCCCTGGCAACTAAACCCTGCTAAATCTTAAAATTTTGCCGGGGCTGGGTTTTTAAAAAGTCTAATTTTTAGCTGAGGCTGGGGCCTCGGTCATTCACTAGATTGACTAGGTCACTCACTAATTTGATAGATCTGGGTTGTTAAAACCATAGATAATTGGTAAGTATAACCTAGAGATAATTGGTTAGTGAAAAATTTTAGTTTTTCTATATTACAGCTAATTTTTTGGTTTACAAATTAAATCAAAAAATGACAACTACTTAACAACACAATTTGTAAAAAATAAAATAAAAAAATAATAAAACAATTTGTAATATGCCTAGAATTACATATTAATTTATATGTAAATGGTAAATTTATTAGTATATATAGGTTATATAAATCATAAATATTTCAATATAAGATTGGGCTAGTAGGCTAGGTACTTAATTTTTTTTTTTTTTTGGATCTTTGCAATTCTAACTTTTATCATTATGTAATTTTATCAAGTAAAAAGTAATTAGGTTTTCTATCATAATAACTTTAGGTAACCTAGTCAAACCTTAAATTTTCTTACAGAATCAACAAATTATAACTTTGTACTTGGTTGTCCTTGGTTTGACATTTTTCAGACCACAAAAAAGAAAAAAATTGTACAATTTAATTTTTAAACAAAATAGTCAAGTTCAAGTCCAACACACTGAAACTTGTAATAGTTTGGATCAGCCTTCCACTGGCATGGCATCCAGAAGTTCATATTTTTTTATTATCCAGCAATATGATGCCACCATCTGATATAGCAGTTATTAGAAATCCTAAACCTAAGAGAAATGATATAAGCCATACTACGCTCACCACAAGTGGTTCCCATCACCAACAAAACTAACAGGTTGGGATTTTGAATTACTCTACTTTCATTTTATTTTTCTATACTTCATATGGTCAAAAAATAAACTTTTTAAATACATTAAGCCACCTAACAGGTATGTACTTCAACAGTAATTAACCTATATTGTGTTATCTATAATTTTCCAAGGATAAAATAGCACTGTCGTGCAATGAGGCAAAAAAATAAATAAATAAATAAATAAAAAAATAAAAATAAATGCTTGGTTGCAGCAACAGCTAAGAAAAGCAAACCAGTGGTTGCAAAGTTACCACATTTTTAACAATGGGGATCTTGACAAAGTACTTTTTACTTTTTTATTAATTTACTGTTGACAAGTTTTGTTTTGAATAAATCAGTCACATTTTATAAAAAACTTTAAAAAAAAAATTTTTTTAAACAAAAATTAAATTATTAAATGATTTTTCTTACTGATGTAACACAAATTTTTTCATTAATATATATTAATTTTTAAAAATTAATTTGTAATAATTGTTTGCTTTTGGTTAAAAATCACTTTTGTCAAGTAAAAGTACATCTACCTGCTCATATTTTATAAAAAATTTAAATTAAAATGCAATTAAATCATTAAATGCACTTAACCTATAAAGTATATATAGCATATACTTTAATAATCTATAGACAAACAAATAATTAAAAAACCCACATTTTTTTACAAAGTTTCTGTAGAATGCACCATATTTAAATAAAAAAAACATAAAAAAATTATCTAGTTAATCTATATAAACAAGGTAAACATACCAGGAAGTTTTTTAATCAATTTTCTCATTGGTGTGGTGAGTTTATTTCCCTCAAATGTCAAATTGCGCATCACAACTTTCCAGTTTTCGTTACTCAATATAGCAATCGCAACTTCTCTGAATATTAAAAATATGAACAATCATTTACATTTTCAGATACAAATTTATATTAATATTTACACATCTTTTAAAAAAAATAATATTTACAGATACTTTTAAGTTAAAAAGTATTTTAATATAAAATATTTATAATTTTGAATTAATATCAGTAAACACTCAATTTTTTTTTTTTTTTTTTTGGTAACCAGAAAAAAATTTTAGTTAATAGAGTAATATTATTTTTAAAACTTAGACCACCGGGAAACTTAAAATTATAAAATTTAAGTTTCCAGTTGAATCAAATAATTAAAGAATACTAATTATTCAGCACCCCCTCTTTCTTATACAGCACCCCCTAAACCCACAGCACCCCCTCTTTCTTATAGAAAATACACAGCACTCCCTAAACCCACAGCACACCCTCTTTCTTATAGAAAATACACAATTACATTAAAAAGTTTCAAACCTTTGATTATTATCGATTGCATAATCTAAGCAGTTTTTCCCCATATGATCTTTCCTTGAAATATCAGCATTTCTAGATAATAAAAGCTTCACCAATTCTACATGGCCTTCTTTGCTTGCTAAATGCAATGGAGTTATCTAAAAATGTAATGAAATTAAGTAAGCACATTTAGTTATATAATAGAAACTTGATGAGATAACAAAAAAGTAGAAAAGAAAAATTACGCACAGAAACTCGTATAAGTTTTGTTTATTATTTTCATACAAATAAATCTCCAATTTACTTTCATTTAATTCTAATCTATATAAATATTTTGTAAACAAAGAATGGTATACATTAATAATCTTATCAAAGAATAAATTAAGTTTGAAGCAGAATCAATCATGGAACAGGAAAAATGAAATTAAATTATTAAATAAATAAACTTTAATTCCTTGGAAAATATAAATTTCAGTACAGTCATAAGTATGGAAATGGACGAAGAGTTCAAAGGTGAATATGAAGTTGAAACATTATTTTTTTCTTTGGGGAATGATTTTCTTTTTGCAGACGAAAATTGTAATAAAGATTTAGACCCCTTGGTATTGAAGATGTCTAGTGAACTTGTTGAAATAACATTTTCTTGCACATTTTGCTCTATAAAGTGCATATCTCAAAGAGGCCTTACAAGACATGCAAATTCAAAACATCAAAGTAGATTTCTTTTAGATTTAACATTAAAAAATCCTAAACCACCTATTCTTCTCAGTGAATTTAAAAATCTGCCAATAAAAACATTACTACCTTGATTGACAATGAATGCTATCCTGATTTGTATAGAAATGAGTTAAGAATTAATCATCCAATGATATTAGAAATTTCACAACAAACCCTATCTCTAAGCGAACAATAGCTAGTTTTAAAGATAATGGAAATGCAGAAAAGTTTTATCCTCAATTTTACAAAGATTAATTGTGATAGAGGAATTTTCATTAACAGTCTAACTAAAAAAACAACTAGACTATAAAATAACTAACAACTAGAATGAACAATGCAATCATGTTTTAGCGTTTCTTACAAACTCATTTTATAATAACTCTTTTGTAAATTTAAATTATTTATAGTCAGTTAAACTTTCAGATAGAGATAAAAAAATTATCTTGTATCTAAGTGGTTATGTATTCAGTACATTCAGGGGCTATTTTAGACCATTTTCGACAGTGTCAAATTAAAATTTGAGGCCTTTTTTTTTTAAACGTTTTTTACGGCAAATATTGTTATTTTTGCAAAAAAACCACTAAATTTTCCGCTATAGTTCACTGGAACGAGGGGTACCGGGTTAACATACTCAAAATTACTCCGTTCAAAAATGAAAAAAACATCAACTAGATTCGAATAAATAGTTTAATGTAATATCACATTCAAAAACGGCTGTTTTTATAACTACAAATTTCACAAAAGCATACTTGGCATAGTAACTCTGTTATTTATTTGTCATAATATATACATATATATATATATATATATATATATATATATATATATATATATATATATATATATATATATATATATATATATATATATATATATATGTATATATATATATATGTATAAATATATTTATACATATATATATATATATATATATATATATATATATATATATATATATATATATATATATATATATATATATATATATATATATATATATATATATATATATAAAGTGTTACCATCCTCCAACTCGTGAAAATTAAAACTTTATATGAAATTATGACTAAAAATATCATAACTAGAAAACAAACATTCAAAAAATTTAGAATTTAAATTAAAAAAAATTTTTTTTATGAAAAAAAAATTCTAGTCCTATATATTCTTATATATATATATATATATATATATATATATATATATATATATATATATATATATATATATATATATATATATATATATATATATATATATATATATATATATATATATATATATATATATATAGGATCTGAGCTCAATTGAGTCAAGATTAAATTATGACACCATACACCTAAATGAATAGGTGTCAAATAAAGGTTTTTGTTAAGATTTCTTACTTAACAGATAATGTAAATATGCTAAGAGCAGACATTGAACCGCTGATCTATTGCTTCTAATGCAAGGGATCTAGCCAATACACATATAAAGGCTTCCCCATGCACCCAAAAAGAGGAAGAGACAGCAAAATTAGGGAGATTTTTTCTAATTTTAGAGGTTTCTAAACCAAATTTGTGGAGCTAATAATCTAATACCTAATAATAGGGGGGTCCAAAATTCTATATTTTTTGTTCAACCAGTTATTCTTAATTAATTTTTTTAGAAAAGTTTGAAAAACAATTCAGTTTTTTCTATTTTTTTGTGGTTGGCCTTCTACTTCTATTTAAACATTTTTAAAAATACAAAAAAAAAAAAAAAAAAAACATATAAAAGAAAAATCTTTGCAGTGGTTTTTTTTTGTGTATAAAGTTACGGAACTTTATGTTAAAATTTATGCAATTTAAATTTTGATTGGATAAATTTGAATTAAAATCAATAATAGTTGCATTTAAAAAAAAAATCTAATAAAACTTTTTTCGTTAAAACGTAAAACTTATACTTACTTAAAAAAAAAGCATTTGTTTTACTTTGCTAGAGAATACTTTACTTCTATTATTGTTAACTAAATTTAGATACCAATTAAAATGAAAAAAAATGTAACAAGACGTAATAACAAACTAGTTTTAAATCAAAATAAACAAATTCCTTTAGAAAGTCTCCCTGTAGTTGATAAATTTTATCATACAAAGTTGCCTTTACTCAGAAGTGTTCTTGCACTTGTCTTTAACGAAGTCAATAATAAAATATCTTTTGAAAGTGCTTGTCGAAGAGTTGTAAAGTTAGTAGAAATACATTGGGCAGAGCGTAATATTTACACAATATCATATCAGGCCATTTTAAAACATCAGCAAAGTGAAATCAATGAATATCACTACTTAAAAGGTGTTGACAAAACAAGCAAGGTGATAGTTTTTTAGGTAGATGTATTTCTATGAACAAATCCCTTAACAAACTTTTTAACATTTACTGCTTCAATCCAGAACGTCATGAAAAGCTAGAAAAGTTTTTCGGTATTTTAATGAATGCTGAAAACTACTCGTTTATAGAAAACATGCGCGGTAACAGAAATTTTACATGTCAAAATGTTGATAAAACTTTCCATCAAAAAGTTATTAATGACAAAAGAAAAATGGAAAAAAAGATAAGAAATGAAACAGCAGTTTATCAAACAATGTACGTTGATAACGATGATAACGAGTTAAGTGAATTTGAAGATGAAGATGAATTTCTTGAAAAAGAATTAACAAAAAATGATTATCAGTTCTTTGAAAAGGACACTGAACCAATTAAAAAAAAGAAAGTTATGTTTGTTGATGTAAGTGAACCAAACCAGCCATACATAACAAGATCAAAATCAAAATTAATATTTGAAGATAGTAATCACAAAACTTATGTTCCAACTAATGTGCGACAATCAAAAAACTTAGTCTTAAGTGATATCTACCATGCATGTGCAGAGTTAGATGGAGAAGGATTCTCAATGAGGGAAATGCAAATTGCACTGAAAATAATCGGCAATCGAATTTTTAAAACAAAATGGAAAATTCCAGATGAAACTGACTGTATATCTAAGTACGATAAAAACAATTGTGAAGCTGTTGAGAACACATTTATTGATTCTAACACACTCCCAACACGCAGTACCATACGTAAAAAACTAAAACAGATGCACCCGTATCCTCTTCGCTTAATTGCAGATAGAGTTGTTCAAGCTAAAAATAGTGGCGATATAATAACTCACTCAACTGACTCTACCACTCGAAAGCATGTTGGGACCTTTGCACCTTCTGGTTTACATATTATCCAAGAATATTATTTTCATTTGCCTACATTAGCAACTGCTTAAGAAACTACAGCAAATATTGCAGATGGAATAAAAACAACATTTGAAATGTTACAGGAAGCCTCAAAATACACCTCAGAAGAACTATACCAGAAGGTAGATGTTCATATGACTGACAGTACTGTTCATAATATAGGAATATCTAAAATCACAGCTGATATACTTGATAGAAAAATTCCTGCTGGTCAACTGTTTTGCACTTCACATACAGCTTTAGGTTTTGACAGAGCTATCGAAAAAGTTCTAAATCAAATTGAAAATGAAATGAATATGGATAACCTTTTCAAAGGCTTTCTCTTAGATATATCTATTAACAAAAGTACGGAAATGTTATCCTTAATCTTTCTATTGTGGGTACTAAATGTGTTTGGTCCGAGTTTTATTCAAAAATCATGGAATTATCATAGAGAATTTAAAACTTTTATGCAGCGTAAAAACAAAGATTTTTTTCTTTTTGAATTTAAAGATGTTCGATTTGAATGCCTTTCGAAATGTTATTCTATAGTTTGCTGGGATGACTTTAAGGTTCACTGGGATGACTTTAAGGAGTTTTTAGACCAACATGAATATATCACCAATAAACTTGCTTGTTTAGTCCGAGATTCTATGAATTTTGAATACATTATAGTTACTTTAGTCGTGGTAGCAGCTTTTGGAATGCAAGTCATTTCACCATTTTTCTGTAAAAGTAAAGGTAATGCACGCATTCTAAACTGCAAATATTCTTTAGCAAGATGTATACAAGCTTTTCTAATGATGTCATAAATGAACAATTCTTTGAATTTAAAGAGTCATGTGTTCAAGGAGTATCAAAGAGATTTTTTGAAAATCTTATTAAAGAAGATTATGGCTTAGAAGTTGTTGATGTAGTACGAAAATACGCATCAAAGAACTTTGATGATTGCATTATTCTTGCAAATATAGTTCGGCAAAGTTTAGCTATAGTTCTTCAACACCGAAGAGGAAGGCATTATGGGTCTAGAGAAAGAAACAATGATCAATTAACTGATGAGTATTACGTTTTTAATCAAGTTGTTGGAGTAGATAAAACAGTTACAAATAATATTGAACTTGAACGTCAGAGTGGAACTCATAGCAATTGACTTCGAAAAAAACCGTCACATTCAACAGTTTCACGTGGTAATGATCTTAAATATTCAAACCATTTAAGAAATGAAGATTCAAATAATTTAGATCTATTTCAGAAAATGGGTCCAATTGTTAGAAAAATTGAAAGTATAAAATACAGTTGGAACCAGCAACAGATTCAACTGAGACAAAGTGGCTTAACTAAAAAAGAACAACAAGCTTTACATCAGGCGTCCAGGAGAAATTCTATTTTAACTTGTTTAAAACTACAAAGCGGTCCATTTACTTGTGGATCAGATGTCAGTGAATATATTGAAAAAGAGCAAGATCTGATAAAATGCCAAAAACGATTGAAGAATGAAGTAATTTATTTTAGAGATACAAGTAGGTCATTGCCGCGGAAATCAACTCTTGATGATGTACAGTGTCTAATTTTTTGTGTAATTTAATACTAGGCACAGTGATTACATATTTTATTAATAATATAAAGAAAAAAAAAATTACCATGTGTTTTACATCGCTTATATTTGAAAGTAATGATTTCATTAAATTTAACAGTAAATTGTTTTGTCAAAATGATCACTTTTATTAAAATTGAAGTAGAAGGCTAAATACTGATAAGGGAGTAAAAACATTGTAAAATTCAAAATCAGCATAAATAATTAATTAAGAAAAAGTGGCTAAACTACAAAAAATCTAAAATAAGTTAATTTTGAAACGCCCCCCCCCCCCCTCACTAATAATCAAATGTTTTTTAAAATTATGGTGTCCTAATGACAGGTTTTATGAAAAATAAATTTTTTATATATCCAGTGGTGGCTATGAAAAATATGAGCTTTAAGAAAGTCACCCAGTATCACCCCATATTATGAGAAAAAAATGTTCGACTTTATCTTTTAATTCTTTGATTATATTTTTATTAAATCCTAACTTTGACTTCACATAATTTGTCACATAATCGCCTATGCCTTGGTAAAATTAAGAAACCAGAATTATTTTTCTCATTTAATCGTACTGCTTCATAATCAGCTGGTAATTTTGCATCTAGTCCCAAAAGTAACATTATTGCTGGATGATAGTGAATCACTTGCTTTGAGATTTTTAAATATTTTTGCTGCTCTTCCCAAAACAGGTTCATAAATGGAATTTAAACTAAATCACTTTCAATACTTTTACTTATAGCAAGTGATGAGCTTCATCAAAGCTAATCCCTTTTTTAATTCTTTATTTTCCAGACAAATACTCTCTAATGTAAGCTTCAGACAATCTGAAGATGTAAATTTAATTGATGCATTTGATTTAGCATGGATACAAGTATTGGCAACAATACTTGTATCCCCTTTTTTTCAAACTTATGATTTCTTTTTTTCCAATGCTTTTGCATTGAGAACAGCATAACACTAACTCAATCAGCATAATGCATGACTGAGATCAAAAATACTCTATCTGATTTAAGGGAAACTCATTTCTAGATGAAAATAAATCAAACTTTTTTGAAATACAACGTTTAATATAAAGATTTGATTTTAATGCAAATTTCAATCAATTATTCCAGAACACAGGCTAATGAAAGTAACAACAGAAATAAGATTTGAAGCTGAAATATGTCGCATTGATCTTTTATATTTTGTTTATAATAAATGATCATCTGGAATGAGCCAGATGATCATTTAATATATACACGAATGGTAAAAGCAAGGCTATCATCAACATATAATTCATATTGAGGACATAAGTGGATTGTATCATAAAGTTTAAATTCTGCCACAACAGAACTCACACTCACTGTCCAGTCACAAATCTTCAACTTGCTAATGGAATACAATTTAGGAACTCTTCGTATGATTTATATATAGGTATAGATGCTTCAATGATTTCAAATTACTTAAAAGTAATTTGAAATCATTGAAGCATCTCTTTTAGCAACGATTGAAAATGCAGATTCCCTTTGTATTGGTATTGATATAGTTGGTAGTGATCAAGGTTTTAGTGACTTTCTGTTATTGTTATGAAGTATCATTTCTGAAAAATAATGCTTTTCACAAATAAACAGTTTTCTATCTGAGCCTTCAAATTTATATCTTTGATACAATCTTTAAGAATAATGGCTATTAGGTTTTTCCTCCAAAAGTTATTAAAACTATCATTAGATGCAGGAATTTTAAATATCGAAACTCTCTTATGCCTCCTAGCAGTACTGCATCCATATATAGAACAATTAGCACCAAGCATTTAAAGAATTGGATAAAGAAGATGCAATTTGAACAAGAAGTTCATAGACAAACAACAATGAAAATAAAGTTTGTGCACTCTGTGGTGGACTGGACACTAAAAAATTACTAACAAAGAGTTGATCAAAGGAATACCACAAATGGTTAGACTATCTATTTCTTATGACTATGGTTTCAGCAGTATACTTTCTTTTTTAATAATATATATTATATTATGGTAAATATTTCCACAAAGTTTAGGTAGTATGTATCATGAAGTCACAGCAATTGTTTAAATGTAGTTCATGGATCACACACAGACGTTACTTGCAGAAATTGTGAATTTGTTGATTTTAAAAAATGTAAAAAAACATAAAAAAAAAAAAAAAAAAAGGTCCTCAATTTTTAATTAAGGCCCTTTTTGAAGTTGAAATTGAGGTGTAAATAGTCTAGAATAGCTCATGATTATTAGTGATCTACCGAAATTCTGTTTTGATATCAGTTTCAACCAAAATTTTAATTTAGCCAATACCAAAATTTTGGTTTCGGTACTTTTTATAAATTCGGTAAAAACTGAAATTTCGGTTGAAAAATTTACCAATAACAGATATTTATCTAATTTAGAAAAACAGTTATTTTTTAGAATTTTCACAAAATCTTTTGACAATTTTCACAAAAATATTGAGAATTTTCACAAAGTATCTCAAAAAAATATTGTTTTGTAGAGAAAATCTACCAATTGTTAAATTTCGCTATTAACTTATACCGCCAACTTTTGTATTAAATCTCAATTTGAGATACAGGTGTAATTAATTTTAACATAATAGGAGTATAAAAAAACAACAAAAATGTAAAATTGCACTATTTTTTTCTAAATAAATTTTGACTAACCAAAATTTCGGTATTGATTTTGGTGTAATTAATTTTAACATAATAGGAGTATAAAAAAACAACAAAAATGTAAAATTGCACTAATTTTTCTAAATAAATTTTGACTAGCAAAAATTTCGGTATTGATTTTGGTAAAATATTTGCCAAAATTTCGATTTTGGTACCAAATTTGAGTACTCTAAATTTCGGTTTATTAGGTTTCAGCTTTTTTTCTGTTTCAGTCGATCACTTATGATTATATATTTTTACAACTCATATTAATATTATTTTTGATGAGAAATAGCATTCATCAATGATTTGAAATATTAAGTATTACAAACAACAAACTTCAAGATTATTTTATGCATAAAGTAAACTTTCTCAAATAGATTTGAGGAGAATTTCCAGAATTTGATTTGAGAAATAATGATGAAAAGTATTGAAACATTGAGCACCTTCCTTATAGCATGATGAAGCCACAAATGCAGTACAAATATGTGAACTATGAATATAAAGTGAACTAGTTTTTAAACAGTGAGAAATTGTAAGAAGAGTGCCACGACAATCAGCAATAAGGCCTTTTTTTATTTGTAATATTCATTAATGACTTAAGAGAAGATTTTGACTGCCATTCAAAACTTTATGCAGATGATACAAAGTTATTTAGCGAAGTCAAAAATAAAGGTAGTGCTGAATTATTAAAATAAGTTTTTAATAAAGCTGTCAAATGATCAAAGATGATGTTAAATCTAATGCTAATAAGTGTGTAGTAACGCATTTTGGGTAATAAAAATATTAAGTATTAATAGTCTAATGACAATAAATAACTCAAAGAAACAAATTTTGAAAAACCTAAAAAATCAGTACCTCAAAAGCAAACAGAATGAAGGGGTTGTTAAATGAGTTTTAAATTTTAAAATTGTTAAATGACAAATTTACTTGACTCCTTATTAAATTTGCAATGCCTGTTTGGTGTTCTTATTTTATTTGGCAAATTAAATTTCTATAAAGAGTACAAGATTGAAAAAGGTTTCTTTATTGAGAAAATTTAAATACAACAATAAGTTAAAATGTTATTTTCTGTTAGTTTGTAATGTTAGTTTCTCACTACTAACTTGTTTCTTTTAGAGCTTTATGTTTTTTTAAATTAATCACAGGTTCTCACTACTAACTTGTTTTGTAAATTATTACTTATAATAAACAATCAATTTAAAAGTACTTTGAATTTATCTAAGGGATTGATGACAGAGTCGGCATCAAGAAGAAACTCTGCACAATGCTTCCATCCACGAAATGCTGAACAATCTAGTGGGGTCCATAGTGATGCATTTCTGAAAAAAAAATGATATTATTATAAATTTATTTTTAAAATTATTTTTAAAATTATTTTAAAAACTTTTTCGTATTTTCTAAAAATGAATAGTAAAACACTTAATAGAATGTTAACACCAAGTAATACTATTATTTTTAATATAATAGTATATGGCTGATTTTAAAGATATGCTGTATAAATGATTCTCTAAATGGTGTCCTTAAATGGAAGGATTTCTAATAATATATAAAAAGTTCTTTTTAAAATACAAACACTGGAAAGTGTCTTGAACTTCTTTCCTCTATTATATGCAGCCTTGTTATTGTTTATCACACTCAAATTTTATTTCTCATATTTAAATTGTGTTTTTTATAACAGTTTTTTAAAAAATAAAATTTAATAAAATAGCAAGCAATACACTTTCAATATAAAACAAACATAATCGAATAAAAAAAAAAAAAAAAAAAAAAAATTAGAAATAAGAAAAAACATGTATTTAGAAAAATATATAAAAAAAATATATATAAAAATATATTTCTATTTACAAAATTATATTTATTTACACATGACAGTTTCAATAAAGTCTTCATTAAATATTAAACAGCAGTTCCAATATGTTTTTATTAATAATTGAATAAGTAAAAACCAGTTTTAAACATTCACAAATTAGTAGTTTAACTATTTTTAAATAACATTTACACAACTAGTCATAAAAAATAATGGATAGTAAAATGACATCTGTATTCAATGCATATATGCATGTAATTGCCTTATTATCTTGGATAATTATGAGCTTTAATTGTTCAAAGTCACAGTAAAAATCTAACACAAAAATACAAAAGATGTAAACAGATGACGTATAAGCTAGCAGTAAGAAAAAGCTACTCATTGAGAAAAATGTTGGATCTCTATTTCTGGTTTGTGTGATCTGGTTTGCATTTAAGTATGTTAGCATTTAGCCAAACAAGGCAGTACCTGTATTTAGTTTAACAGAAAATAAAAATAAATCACAATAAAAAAACAATCACATCAATAAAATATTGTATGCATAAGTAAACTAACTTAAAAACATGACAAGCTAGGTTATGATTATTTGGTTACAGAGCCATAAATAATCCTGAGGGATTTTATATTAAATTTACATTGGGTTTTTCAAATTAGTAAAAACAATTTCATATGATGTATACAACAAAGATTGGAGAAAAATTATAGCTTATATAAAGTTTTAAACAAGATTGACCATAACAAAGACTGCCATGTGGTTCAGAAACTCTGTTATAACAAGGATCACCATGTGGCTCAGAAACTCTATTGTAACAAAGACTGCCATGTGTCAATTTTTGTTTAAAAAAATATTAATAATAACAAAAGTTAAAACATTTTTTGTGTACTTTTATGTACTTATTTTTTTTAAGCATTAAAAATATTTTTGGAATGTTTGACTAGATTCATCTTATTATTTAAAAAAAAGAGTTAAGCAAAAAAAAAAAAGATCTTGTGTATTTATTTATTCTATATTTACTTCAATGCTACAACAACCAAACTTTTGTCAGATGATTTTAAACTCTTTTTTTTTTTTTTTTTTTTTTTAATTTTTCATTACACAACGTTTTTAGGGCTAAAACAGCAAATACTTGCCAAGGTAATACAAATGACTATTTTACCTTTGTTGTTTTATTAACATTTACCAGATAAATATTTACAAGAACAAAAATATGCACAAATAAAATACCTTGCATCAACAGCAGCACCAGATTTAATGAGAATTTCAACAACTTTTACATGTCCTTCCATTGCAGCAAGATGAAGTGGTGTGTTTGAAGCATCATCAACATCATTAACTATGCTTAAATTGGTTGACAAAAGCAATTCTACAACCCTGGCAAATAAAATCAAATTTTCAAACAAACTATTTACTTATAAAAAATCTTATTTTTAAATTTAAATACATTAATTGCAGTATTATATGTTTAACGCAGGTATTAAATTGTCCTAAAAATTTAAATTTTGGTTTTTATCTTTAAAAATATTAAAAAGATAAACAACAGGCAAAAACTATTTTGATATTATAATGATTTTATATAAAGAAGAACCACAGTCAAAACTGTCAAAAAGTGCTTGTATAAACAAATAGTAAGTCTGGTGCATATTAGCTTACATAATCATATTATGTCATTTATATAAAAAAACAAAGCATAAAGTTTTGAAAAAAGTAATAAACAGACAAACAGCATCAAATATAATTTACGTACTTTCAAAGCAACAGTGCAAGGATTGCTATGATATGCATTTAAATGGATGCTCCCCAAAATAATTCCAACTAATTTTAATTACCATGAAACAAAGATAAGAAATTCCCTTAACTATACACAAACAATTTTTTAAATAAAACACCACTCAGTCAGTGGTGTTGGAATTACCTCAAATAGCTTTAAAATATCAAAATAATTTGGGATCAGTTCATCATTTTAACATTGTCTTTTATATATGAACCTTTTTTAAACAAAATTATATATATATATATATATATATATACATATATATATATATATATATATATATATATATATATATATATATATATATATATATATATATATATATATATATAATTACTTTTTATATATGATTTTTTTGTTTTTATAGTCTAGTAAACAATAAAGTATAATAACATCATTTTATGTCATACAGCTATGCAACTTTTATGTTATGTTATGTTACAAAGTTATGCAGTTCGTAAGTTAACTAGTTGGAAATTGGTTCAAAAGCAGTTGACAGAAGTCTTAAAAAACTTTAAGCTGAATGGAAAAAAATATGAAGGAACAAATTCCAAACCACCAATCTTCCAGAAAAATGAATAAAAGTTTTTTAAGCATTAAGTTACAAGAAATAAAATTGATATTGCTGAATAATGAGTCACACAATATAAAGTTTTAGTTGATGGAACAAGATATCTCGCTTAAGCAGCAACTATGGTAGTATTTGTGGAAAAGGGAAGATGCAACCTAATTACAATGGGACAAAAGCTCAAGCTTGGAAACTAAAGCATGATTAACTAAATTTACAATACATATTTAGACCTTGTTTAAAAGAGAGAGGGCTTCGTTAGAATATGACAACGATCATCCATGACAAAAAATATAGCTAGACCATCAACAAACAGAGCCACTATAAAGGTAAGATTATCAGGAAAATCATTAACGCCTCTTTTCTAGCACTATATGCAATGACATGTATATGCAATGAATTTAAATCTTATGTAGACCAAATAAAACCAAGTAAAATTGGTGACTCAATGGATAAAAGTTAATTCAAAGACTATAAATGTTTTTGAAGGATAGATTGAAAAATTTCGTGGTAATACTCTCTGAGAGCTACCGTCGAGTTTGGGATACCTTGCTACCAGCTAACTTTATAAGCATTAAACTAAGTTTTAAAGCAAAAGCAGTAAAAGATGCATAGGAAATACTATGGAGGCACTAGCAACAACCCACAAATGGAGTCGAAAGGATTTGAGTTCATTATCTCAAAGTGGTGAAATGGTAAGATCTTTTATATTCTAATTAATCCAGAGGTTATGACAGGTGTTTCTAGTGATAAACAGGTACTTCTGTGATAAACAGGTACTTCAGCTATTGCCCACTGATTGGGCAATAGCTGGTTAGGTCAGACTTTTAAAAATTGTAACCACATATAATTATTTCCAGAGGCAACAAAAAAAAGATTTTGTTAACTGCCTTTTAAATTATTTCAAGACTATTAAGGAGAGAACACTTTTGGTACTAGAGCCAAGCTATTTTGTTAAGAACATTAAAGTTACTAATAACAACAATATTGGCAGAGGGATAGAGAAAAAGACTTAAAAGAAAAGCCTTTGGTATAGATTTTAACTATTCTTAACACATTGCTATTTCAAATAATGTAACACTCTCTTATAATGAGAATACTATATTATTTCTATGAAACACCTCAAAGTTAACATTACTTATTTAAAAATAGTGATTTAACGTTATTTTTTTAAGGATTTTACTGCATATAGCAGGCCTTGTTTTAAAGCGTTACGTCTAGAGCAATTTACGTATGCCATAACCGATTTTTACATACGCGTAGAGCTGTTTTGGTTAAGCTACTTTTTATCATTTTTTAACTTTTAAATTAGCGGTAACATAAAAAAAGTAATTAATTTTTAAAAAAACCACATTAACTTTTAAATAACGATATGTAAAGATATTTATTAAAAAAAAGAATTTACTTAAAAAATAATTGTTGTAACTTTTCATCGCGATATATCTTTCCTTTTTATAGCAATTAATTTGACGCTAAACTTTTTATCTAAATACTTAGCAACATGAAAAATTGTTTGTCAATCCTTAACTACATATTTTTTGCAATGTTTTTAATAAAAAGTAGTATTTTTTAAAAGTTTTCAGTAAAAAACTTTAAAAAAATCTATATTCCATATTTATTAATACAGAATATAAATGTTTTATGCAATATAGATTTTTTAAGAATTCTTTACTGAATTTATAATAAAAAACAGTGATATTTTTTTTAACATCTCAAAAAATGTCTTAATAGTTTTGTTATCATGATAACAAAAATATCAAGACATTTTTTCGAGATATTAAAAAAAAAATGTGCCAATGAATGAACAATCTATTTGTATTTTTCTAAAAATTACTTCATTAATTATTACTCTTTGCTTTTCTTATTAGTTTAAGGTATATAAATACCTTTACCTTTAAGTTATGCGGGAGGAGGGGGACGGCACAGAAAAAAAATATTACCTGTTACTCGCAATTTTTGAATGAAGACAATTTGTTAAATTTCTTCTGTGTGCAATTCAATAAGTTTTTTTCATAAATCAAGTTATATTATTACATATTATAAGGTAAAGAAATTACGAGTAGACTACAACATCCGCTGATGACACTAATATTACGTTGAATATATTTATATAACAGAGGTTTCATTATGCACGCGCACATTACAGATTCCGTTAAATAAAAACTAAGGCACGTTTTAGTTTAATGACAGTTCTTATTTTTTACTAATGAATATGTATTTTTCTTTATAAAACAAAACAAACTAGTATATAAAAACCTTGTATATTTCTATTCTCTCTAAATTGTTCGAATATAGATTGTATTTTGAAGGACAAAAGATTTGCTTTAAAAACTTTTAAACCTTGGAACTTTGCCGATGCGATGATCACAGAAAAAGAGAAGACTTACGTTATTAAAATCAAATGTAAGTTATGTGATCTTCATCAAATAAAATATTATCCAAAAACAATGGTGCCGTAAGGGCAGCTGCCCAACGGTTTATAAATAACACAAGTCATGTTAAAATATTTTAACATTTTAATTAAGTTGATATATAATTAAAAATAAAAATATAGTTCAATAAATAAATTAAATTTGTTCTTAACAAAGATTACCTCATATTTATTCTTTTTTATTTTATTAAGTTAAATTGCTTAAATTATTAAATATACTTAAATTATTTTAGTTGAGTATTTTTTTAAGTTTGCACGTTTAAAGTTTTGCATAGAAGTATTTGTTTTTTTGTCTTAAGAATAATTAACAAAAGAGTTTGCATAAATAAGACTTATATTTAATTTAATTTTTTTTTTTAACTTCCTAAAATTTAAAAAAGAAAAGATTTAATCGTTAAAAACGATTTTTCTCTATAGCTCTATTTCTTTGTGATTTGTTTAAAAAGTAAAATATTTTTACAATAACGTAAAAAATTTATGAATTAAATTCCTGGCGAACGCATTCTAAACTATGCATCAAAAATATGCTCAAAGCAGACAAAACTTTTTTATATTTTTATAAAACGCAAGTTTAAATGCTAAGCAAGATAAATTTAAAAAATATTTAAAAACCTAAATTTTTCTTTGCTAGTCAAAACAAAATCGTTGTTTAAATAATTAACATGAGTTTGTGTTTATTAATGTTAATATTTTTTGTTTACTCTAGAAATTTTTAAAAATAAAAAAAAATCATTATTATTTTTTATTCAATAATGATTAAAAACAATAATTATTCAAAAACAAATTTCAGAAATAATTAAAATATATGTATATATATATATTTTTTTTTATTAAATAATCTTGAACTAAAATTAATAATAACAATTGAGAACATTACAAAATTTTCGTAATAAATTTACATTTAAAACGTTTATAGTTATTTGAGTTAATTGTTAAATTGAACTAGTTTGTGGTTATTTATTTATTGCGGTAGTTAAAACACTTAACGTCTATAAAAAAAAATAAAGATAATTTTATGACGTCAAAATTGCATTAAGCTAATGAATTAAGCACTTTTTTATTTAAAACAAGGCCTGATATAGGTATTGTCTTGAGATTATTGTAGAACCCTTTATTTAGCTATTTTAAAATTTTTAATGTTCAGTTATTGTTGTCTCTATATTATGCCTTACTTACTGCAAGTTTTGATAAGATATTTAAAAAGTAAAAAAACAAAACAAGATTTTAAAATAATGCAGCTGAAAAAATATAAAATGCCAAAAGAATAAGAAAGTCTTGCAGTAAAATAATGTAATATGTATCATAAAAATGTAGAGGACTATCTATCTATGGGACTATCTATTATAAAAATCTAGGGGACTATCTATCTACGGACATTTTTATTTTCTGAACTTAAAAACAATAATAAATAGAGAAAAAGTAAAAAATGAACTTTGCTTTCAGTTTTCATTAAAAAGTGATTTTGGCAAAAAAATTTGAAAAAAAATTTTAATAACAATTTATGATTGTTTCGGCAAAAAAATAATTTTTTTTAATATTAAAAAAAATTTGCAATTTAATTTGACAATAATTGACATAAAATTAAACTAACATGTACAACTTTTGAGTTGATAATGGAAAAATTGCGTAATATATTCAATTTAAAATAATTATTTTTAAATTAAGTTTTTTTTTTCACAATTTTTCGCAACTTTTTGTTTTTACATCACTAAAATTAACTATATAGTTATTTTTAAAAACAAGCAGCTTAGGTAAAAGCAATAGTAAGTTGTATAATAGCAGGCTATGTAGTTAGTTGCATATAGGTGCTACATAAATGTAGTGGGCCATATATTAACTATATAGTGGGCTATGTACAGTGATGGATCCAGAATTTTTTGGTGTTTGAGATAGCTATCTTTCAGACATGGAGCAAACTCCAAGCATTTGTATGTTTATACTTATGTCAAATAACGAAGCATTGCAAAAAATTGCAATGACTGGAGGCTGGGAACAAAAAATCCCTTTGACTTTTTACCCCCTTCCTCTCCCCCTCCCCCTCTCCAAACATGAGGGACAACAAGATAATAAAATATTTTTGGTACTATTCTCAACTAGACTTATATTTATCGATAAATTTTAAGTTTCATAGTATTATCTCTCAGCATACAAAAATTATGATCATATAAAATTTGTAACCCCCTCACACTGAGAGGGGTTTAAACTTTTATGGACATATTTTTGAACGCTGAGAGATAATACTATGAAACTAAAAATTTAGCAATGAATATAAGCCTAGTTGAGAATAGTTTTTAAGGAAAAATAGTTTTTACCAGTGGTTGTGCGAGCTATCCTATTAGTCAAATGTAATAGTAATGCAGTAAAATAATAGGGAGAATTCTTTTTCAGGGTCACACAGTACTTGATTGAGTACAATAAAAGACAAGACTTTTATTGTACAAATCTTTAAACAAATAATAATTTATAAGTATTATAATATTAAAACCATAATTATACATAATTATAGTTACAAAATTAATGTAATGCACTATTTTCATTACAAATATTTTTTTCTCAATGGACATGATTAAACATACTTTATTGTAAAATATTTACAATAAAATGATTCTAAAGATTCATAGATGATTTTATTTATTTGTGTTATAAACATTAATTTTTTATTATTTAACTTAAATATTAACTATTATCTTTTAAATGCAATAAGATGGTAATGGTCAGTACTTACCTAAAATAACACTTCATTTGTAAACTAAAATTAATTAAAAGAAAGCCAAAGGTATTTATTGCACAAGATCAGTAAATTTGGTAGCACAAGATCAGTTGATTGTCAGACCCTGTCATATTACCATATTTATTTACAACTAATGAATTTCAAGGTCAAACATTTGATGATGACATCTACTTTTATCAAAATATCTTGACTTAAAATATATAAAAATTTAGTAACTTAAGTATATAAAAATTTAGTAACTAATTTTTATTTTAAAACCTTTATATTTTCATACAGGAAACAGGGTATACTAAAAAATTATAATCCTAATATGCGTATATCAAAAATGAAAAATTCTACACCTAATTTGTTATACCTGTAATGACCATGTTTTGATGCTAGATGTAGGGGAGTGAGATTTTCATCATTTTTTGAATCAATACAAGCTCCCAGGTTTAAAAGAATCTATAAAAACAAAGTTAGTTAAATAAGTTTATAATAATTTAAAACAAGTTGTTTTTTTTTTTCTCCAAAACATTATTGGTGAATTTATTGAAAATATATTAAAATATTTTTAATATTTTTTAATAAACTTGATAAGTTCAAATGATAACAATAAGAATTAAATAAATAAGAAACTTTATTTAAAAAATTGTAAAATAAAGCAACAACAATGAACTATACAGCTTTAATAGTTTTCAAAAAGCTATTTGAATTTTTAGTTTTAATAATAATAAAATTTAAAATTTAACCTACACAAACTATATATTCTAAAAACAAAAGAACTTTTTAATACATAACATTTTTATAGTTGCGTATTTTGCATACTAAGTTAAAAAATTTAGTATGTAAAATATGACTTAATTAGCAAAAATAATAGATATACGCATTTTTATTAATTTGAATAAAATCATATTTCATAAACAGTTATAAAAATTTGATCGATTAAATTTGAATTAATTAACACTAAAACAAATTTAAAAGTATCAAAACAATTTTAAAAAATTCATTTATTCAAGTTTTAATTACAAACTCATTCATTCATGTTTTAATTACAAAAGTCTTTTTTCTTTATATAGTTATAGTAATAGACACAGTATAGTTTTTAGAAAATAGCGTTATTTCAATAAACAATGTTTTTAATTCAATTATGCATCATTTGGTACCTAATTGATGCTTTTAGCTTATTTTATAATTCATTTATGATTAATTTTGCATTTTTAACTTAGAAAAATGTCAAAAACTTTCTTAGAAATTTATGGAGCTCTTGTGTGATTGTGACAATAATGATGATGATGAGGATGAGGATGATGATGATCTCAATGATGATGATGATGATGACCACAATGATAATCATGACAAACACATTTTAATAATATACAAAAATCACCTGAACAATGTTCTCATGGCCCTCTTTAGCAGCAATATGGAGAGGCGTAAGTTCATGTTTATCAAACTCTTCTAACAACATTTTTATATCATGTTGACACAAAATCTATAAAGAAATTTAATATTTGTATTTTTATATTTAACATATAAATGATTTTTTTTTTTAAAATTATTTATTATTATAATATTTATACTTAAAGATACTTAAAACCCTAAAACTAAACAAACAAATTTAATTACTACTACTGCTGCTTCTATAACTAATAAATAGTAACATTACTATTAAATAATAGTATTAATAATAATAACGATAACAACAATAGTAATAATAATAACAATGATATTAACAACAATAATAATAATAACAATAATAAATACAATAGCAATAGTAAACATTAAGTTCACTATTTTTAATATTAACGATAATATATCAAAATTACTTCGAGCGATTCTTTTGAATTTTCTTCAGCACCAATATACAAGCATGTTTTATCATTTGCATCTTTCAATGTTAAATCAGCAGAGTTATCAAGTAACAATTTCACTGTTTCCCAATTGTTTTTACGCATAGCCATTAATAAAGGTGTTTCATTATCTTTATCTTTGATATCTATACATGCTCCTCTAAAAAGCAAAAGCAATTATAAAATGTATTAAAACACTTTTTTTTTATTTGTATGTTTTTATTTATTTATAGTATTTTTTTATGCTATAGTTTTCATACAATACACTTTGTATTAAAAATATTGTCAATATTTTATGTATATATATATATATATATATATATATATATATATATATATATATATATATATATATATATATATATATATATATGCATATATATATATATATTTATAAATATATATATTTATAAATGTAAATATATATATGTATATATTTGTAAATGTATATATTTGTAAATGTGTATATATATATACATATATGTATATATATATATATATATATATATATATACATATATATATATATATATATATATTTGTATATTTATATATATTTGTATATTTATATTTATATGTATATTTATATATATATATATATATATATATATATATATATAAATATATATATATATATTTGTGTATATATATATATATCTATATATAATTTAAATTAAAAAAATACAACTTTTTATGGAACTATTAGTTTCATGCCATTTGACAATCATTCAGCCATATTATTACAAATGGCATGAAACTAATAGTTCTACAAAAAGTTGTATTTTTTTCATTTAAATTATATAAATATAATTCGCTCTTTTTTACTAAGAAATATTGATCACTCTTACGCAGACAAGAGCTGTATTTTTAACAAAAGACTATACCTATCAACAATTATATATATATATATATATATACATATATATATATATA